CCCCCACAGCATAAACGGAAGGACACAAAATAGGATTGGTTCACAGTGTCAGGGAATCCCTATGAAATTGCCATAATGCCTCCTCTTCCTGACCGGCTGCGACCTACCTTAATCTGCTTTTACATTCCTATAGACTTGTACGTGGAATGGAGCAGTTTGGACGTGACCAAAGCCAGTCAACACTGAACGTTGAAAAGACATACTATTCATATACACTGACAGCCCTGGCATGCCCTTTATTTTTACAGTCTTCTGCTGAAAAGCAGGGTCTTACACCAGCTTACCAGAACTGTCTGTTTAGTTGTTCTGGGGAAATGGCATGATACAACATACAGATTACTATATAGAAATCACAGGAAGCTCTTACCCCTCCAATCCCCCGGCTTTGATCATGTTGCATAGATCCCGCAGGTGCAGTCTGAAAGGTGCGTGCTCACCAAAGACCAGTACAATCCAAACATGGCCACACTCCACAGACCTTAACAAACCTCTGCAAACTTTATTAATCCAAGCATGTGTATACACCACACTGAAAAGTTCCCCAGCACACCCAAACCTCTTACACGTTTAACCAATAAAGCTTAGTTATAGAGGTACATTTCCTATAGACCGGATAGAATTTATATCCTCATGCATCACAGGTGTAATATCTAAAAAATAATTAAAAATGGAAATATATATATATGTGTGTGTATATAAAATAAAAAGGCGATCAAGTAAAAAATAACATAAATGAAAATAAAAATGTTTACAAAATAAATTAAAACCAACCCCGCTGCCCTCACAATCTTCATGCGAATAAACACATGCATTGGAGTGGGTGATCCGTGACCTCGCAGCAATCGTGCATTAAACCGTGCGGATGGCTGGGCAGTCACAGAAGTGCACACCACCGCAGATCGCTCTGGTAGCGCCATTACTTTCTAATGGCACCCCAGTCGTGCCAGGCAGATTGTGAATTTTCCCGCCGAATACAGCTCGGGCAATTGCGCATAATTGCGGTTGAAAACACAGTACGGTGCATGTTGCGAAAAAGGTACATGTATCCTTTTTTTTTTTCAGCGATTGTCATGCGGATATAATCCCATTGAAATCAATGGGGCCGTGCAGCAACTGCTGTATGCAACCGCGCATGATCGCCTAAGTCTGCACCCGCCCTAAAGGGTAAATTCACTTTCCCAGGTGATTTTGGAAAATGGAATTACCCACACAAATCTGCCCCCTCTCCTTCCCGCTTTACTTACCTTTTCGGCGAACGGTCCTTCCCGTCCGCCAATACAGGTGTATTATCTGGACCTGTGCCATGTATTCTGAATTTTGCTCACAAATTGCAAGCACTTGTTGGCCAGTGGGGTCGACTGAAGGCGCTGACCAATGAGAAGCGCTTCTTCGAACTGCTAAATACAGTTTTGGTTAAAATTATTTTTTTGTATCGGCACAAGTAGATTGGCATGCGGGACAAGAAGATTGGGCCCCCACTTTAGTCCTTGGACAAGTAGTGGGGTTCTGTAAATTCACTTTCCCAGGTGATTTTGGAAAATGGAATTACCCACACAAATCTGCCCCCTCTCCTTCCCGCTTTACTTACCTTTTCGGCGAACGGTCCTTCCCGTCCGCCAATACAGGTGTATTATCTGGACCTGTGCCATGTATTCTGAATTTTGCTCACAAATTGCAAGCACTTGTTGGCCAGTGGGGTCGACTGAAGGCGCTGACCAATGAGAAGCGCTTCTTCGAACTGCTAAATACAGTTTTGGTTAAAATTATTTTTTTGTATCGGCACAAGTAGATTGGCATGCGGGACAAGAAGATTGGGCCCCCACTTTAGTCCTTGGACAAGTAGTGGGGTTTTTTTTTTTTTTTTTTTAAATTTCTACACCCCTGGATGTGTATGTGTTTTGAAGATATAAATTCTACCTGGTCTATAGGAAATGTACCTCTATGACTTATTGGTGAACGCGTATGCGGGTTTTGGTTGTGCTGGGGAGCTTTTCAGTGCACTGTATACACATGCATGAATTAATAACGTTTGCAAAAGTTTAAGATCTGTGGAGTGCTGCCGTGTTTGGATTGTACAGATTACTATAGTTTAACAGCTCCTGTTGCTTTTGGTCGGGTGCAGCCGTTCCTAATTTTTCCCTAATTTTTCCATAAAGTGAGGTTTTCTCTTTTTAAAGGTTCACTCTTGGCCAGCCTTCAAGTGTATTTCCACTTTTGCAGCCAAATGGGGATGACTGCTACTTTATATTTGTTATATCTTACCATTCACATAGCATAATTAAAATAATTTAAAATTGCTGCTTATATTTTGAAGTGCTTTTGCTTGCTTAAACATTCTTGCTCGCTCCCCCCCCCCATTTAATGTTAAGGAGGGGGCTGTGAGGATTTATGTTGACTCGTTAGGGCTTTTTCACTCCAAATCCAGACCAGATCCGGATGAGTTTCTGCATATGCAGTGCGTTTTTGATGCGTTCCGGTCTGTTTTTTTTTTGGGGGGTGGGGGTTAAAATGGGCTTTCAGGTGTAGTCAAGTGCGTTCCAGAGTGTTTGCATATGTTTTGGTGTGTTCAGAGCAGAAAAAAAATAGTGCCTGCTGCAGTTTTTCCACATGCACTGGAACTGAACGCTGTGGTGTGAACTAGAGCCCAAAATACCATTGGAATACATTGAATGCCTTTTTGATGCATTCTTAAACTGCTCTGCTCCGCACTTGGTGTGAACAAGCCCTTAATCACATCTGTACTGTGCTGGCAGATTTCATTATGAGGTGTAACCAAGATGTAAACACTGTTCTAACAAAGGGTTAAATAAATAGAAGCCTGGCTTCTGCTTTGTATGTTAATGAGAGAAGACTCAGTCTGTACACAGAGACATTCACTTTTAAATTGTTCAGAGTAGCTTGGAGTCCGCCCAAAGGCCTGCTCCAAAGAAACAACTTAAAGGTATGAAATCTTAAAAAAAAAAAAAAATGATTTTTAGGTATGCTGTGTGAACACACAACAAACATATAATGGGAGTTTCTCAAACATGCAAATACACTTTAAGATGCGTACAGGGAGCACGGCATATTGCTTAGCACTTAATTTTTGATCCATGCGTTTCTGCAGTTCACCAGAAGACAGTAGGTCCCCCTGCACTCCTTGCAGCGTCTCCGGTCCAAGTAACATTAGTGGTGCTCGCAGTGACAATCACGGATGGCGCCGTGCACAGCAATTAATGAAGGATGGAAATCACCAGCACTCAGCCAATGAAGTTCAAAAAATAACGTCCATTTATTTGGACTAAACGTCACACATATCGCATTATCCAACGTTTCGGGTCCCTTCATCATGGCAGAGATGTGACATTGATTGCTGCGGTTCACCAAACTTTTTTATTGTACATTTTGAGAATGAATACTTGTTATGCATGTTATACCTTCCTGTCGTATTATCAAGCACCCACTGCAGACTACTTGCTGTCTCTTCCATCTAGTTAGAAATCGGATTCACACTTGCTTCTGAGGTCTGAAATAGAATGGTAATACAAAAAGCAAAGACAGGGCTCAATGAACCATGTTTTAAGAAATACATTTTTTGTGTACCCACTAAACGCTTTGTAAATGTATAGTTGCAAGGCAGTACAGAGAAATTGGATGAAAGCTGAACTCCAGGATAAGTAAGGGTTGCATAAATACAAAAGCCATGTGCAGTAATTCAGCATGAAACTTTGCCTCTGTGAAGAAGCTTTCTGTATTAAGACCAGTCACTGCTGCTCTCTTTTATTGTGTTCGGTGACTGGTCTTGTATCTGCCTTATACTATTATAAGGTTTCAAAAATATTTGTATCCTTTCTGGCCATTGATGAATATATTTTAATATTTTTTTTTTGTGTGCCTGAAGTTAAAGGAGAACTATGGGGTCAGTGTTTTCCCCCATAGTTCTCCTTGGGGTAACGGGAGGACACAAACTAGTGTCCTCATGTTGCCCTAAGTTCAGTATACCGGGAGCTACAGCTCGCGGTATACTGAGACGCCGAACCTGGAGCGGATCCCGACTTAGATGACGGGATCCACCCAGCTGCGTGAGCGACAGCTGGCTCTGCCTATCTAGAGGCAGAGCCAGCTGTACCCGCCCCCTCCCCCGTCCGTTCCGCCAGTCAGCGCTGGCAGATGGGAGAGGGGAATCCAGCCCCTCCCCCTGTCACGGCAGAGAGCCGTGACAGGATCGAGAGGTGAGGGAACCCGGTATGTGTTCGCTCACCTCCCGATCTACTGAGCCGACCTGTGACAGTCTCATTGTCACAGGTCGGCTTAGAACTATGAGGTGAGTGGAAATCACTCATGTCATAGTTCTCCTTTTAAGCTTTAAACATTGCATCATCCGTTACTAGTAAAGCTGAGGTTTGTGTACTCTGTCCCTTTTTGAGTTTATGCATATGCATTTCAGAAGCTGTAGGCAAGCAGCAACCGATCTGGAGAAGAACCACAAACTTTTTCCATGAGATGTTTTTTTAAATTGTGTTTTTTGGTGCAAATATTCTGACTGGAAATAATGTGTGCTTTTTTCTTTTTACAACAGTGATCTAGTGGTACAGATTGCGGATGCCCGGAACCCTCTTTTGTTTAGGTGCCAGGATTTGGTGAGTCACTTTCCTGGATTGTCATAAATCTTTCATTGCTTTCCATTCACTGCTGGGGGAAAATAAAACCAGAGTTGGCATTGGTGCCGCTTTTTGAGCGGCTTGTTAAGTGATGGAACTTATCTGGATCCATGTTTTAACAAACTTGTGTTCAGTCGCATGCACTTTCCCGTCTTCTACTAAAATGGAAGATTTAATTCTGCTTTGTTTTCAGTGTCCATCACAATTCTGCTGCGTTTTAGATTTTATCTGGGGGGCATTTTGTGCTCGGCTATCTTCAAAGTTCAATGGTATTAAGTTTCACTGATTAGCTTCCAAATGGCACATTCATGTTATAGTGTCTACTGTATTACAATGTTCTGTGCTTTGTAGAAGCAGAATCTAATCTCAAATTTAGCACAGCCTTATCGTGCAAGTCCAAAATAACAAATGTTACCTAGTACTAGCATATGTGACCCCATTCCTCTAAAGAAAATCAGAACGGTGATGTTAATCATCATAAATGACGTTTTTGTATTAGCCGATCTTGCCGCATACAATTGTCTGTTATAAGGACAAGAACTTCTAAGATCTGTTTCGGTCACTTTTAAAGTTTCTCTTTTGGACTTTGCCACACACAAGCAAGTCCACGCTGTCTACACCTCAGCTGTAGCAGTATCCTGGGATATTTCTTTGTATGGTGAGGGAGAGGTATGAGGCATGGTGTGTAGGGTGAGGGACTGCACACAGTACGGTTGGTTTTATATACTACCCACTGCCACAGATAGTCTGTCCCAGCAGCTACACGAGCATTCACTGGGGCGCAGCAGGTTAAATAATGTCAGCTATATTCATTTCTCCATTTTTGCAGGAGCATTATGTGAAAGAAATAAGTCCTCACAAAGAAAATATCATCCTAATAAACAAGGCGGACTTGTTAACAGCTGAGCAGCGTCAAGCCTGGGCAACTTATTTTCAGAAGGAGGGAATGAAGGTTGTCTTCTGGTCAGCCTTGGCAGAAGCACAAAGACTTACAGAAGACGCTATGGTATGCTACTTGTGTTTTTTTTAATTTATTTTTTACATGTATGTTTTCCCATAAATTCTAAAGCATATTTTCTACTCTTTTGTGTCATGCACAAAATAGTTGAGCTTGCTGGGCATAATCACTTTTCAGTGGCTGAATTCTTTAGCTCAGCTCATTAATCCGATCAGCACCTCTGCCATAGCCTGTCTGTCAATGGCGATGTTGCTGTGGATACTTGTTCAGTTCTTTAAGTAACTAGGCATTTTTACTAACAGCCAGCCCTTCTCAAAGGTTCTGATCACAGAAAAAGTATAAAGTTAAGCTTTCCAAAGTATAGAGAAAAATCTTTCCGAACCATTTCATAATGTCATCAGAGACTTGATGAATGTCCTCCAACATTTTTTTTGATTTTCATTTTGACTTAACATCAAATTTGTGGAATAATGGAGTTTCCCGAACGAAAACCACATTCAATGTTTTGTTCGTTCGAGAAAATAATACCCAACAGCATTTCACTCTTCTTTTTTTTTTTTTTCCCTGCTGAACCCCTTTAACAAACATCTAAACATCCCTGGGTATGACCAGCTAAGTGCATTAATGGTTAAAATCTGCTTTAAAAATGGCTCTACATATGGTATTTACAATACAATTGCCTAATGCAAAGCGGCACTGACAACAGTTCTTGTAAACTCCAAATGTATCTCACTGATCTGTATTTTATGGCAGTTGTCATGCTTTCAATTTGTGCTCGTTGCTAAAGTTCTGCATGTTCTTTTAGCAGGGTGCTGAGCCAGAGGATGTGATACAGGATAACATCTCAGATGAGGAAGACAGCGAGGATGAGGAAAGTTTAAGTGACGCAGAAGACCAAACTGGAGATCATATGAAATACAGCTCAAGTGATGAGTATGAGGACTGTGAGGATGACGAAGGTTGGCAGACATGCTCTGAAGATGCAGAGGGTGAAAATGAAAGGATATTACCAGTCTCAGCCGCAGGCCAGCCTGAAAGGACTGAACCAGCAGAGGTCCATAACTATAGCCACTTAGTTCAAAGAGATGAATTGCTTGAGATCTTCAGATCCGTTCACAGAGGCAAAAGAATTAAAGAGGAGCAGATCACTGTGGGACTGGTGAGCCCATCTTTGATTCATTTATTTCTCCAGCATTCATCAGCTTTAAAATATTTATTAGTCATTTGAGCAATACTAACTTGTGATTCATTTACAATTTTCAGACTTGTGGGTGTGATTAAATATTTCATTTTATTGTCTTTTATAGAGCTGCAGCTAACGATTATTTTCAAAATCGATTAGTTAGCCGATTATTAAGTTCGGTTAATCGGTTAATCAGATAAAAAAAATGTAAAAATAAAATACATTTTAAAAAATGTTGGGGTGCAGGCTTACCCGAGCAGTCTTCCAGCAACTTGTTTCTGAGATCGGGCCTGTCTATCTGCCGCTGTCATCCCCCACACCTGCTCCTCCTTCTCCCCGCGTCCCTGTGCCGATCGTGAATTTGTGGGCGATGAGCGTGAGGCGGGGAGGAGGTGCGGCGTGTGGAGCGTGGATGCGGGCGGATCTGGCAGCGGCAAGCGTGAGGTGGGGAGGAGGTGTGGCACGCAGCGTGTATGGAGCTGTGAACAGGGCCAACCAATCGGAAGCCGATTAATCGATGATTGAAAAAGTTGACAACTTTTTCAATAATCGATTATGTCGATTAGTTGTTGCAGCCCTAGTCTTTTAAAATTTTTGTTCTAGAATACAAAATTATTCAGTTTTTCCTTTTTGCCATGTGAATCTTTTGCTCTGCTGACGTTGGGCTTTTTCATATTCCTGAAATATTTTTCTTTGTGACAAATGCAGACTTTTGATAAAAAAATATTGATCAGTTATTGTAAGTGGCCTTATGTGCTTCAGCAGTTTCATTTGAAAGTAGCAGGCCATACTAGACCTTATTACCCCAGCCTTCTAAGAAGGAAAAGAGAGGAAACAGTTCTTGTAAGCAGAACAGAATTGTGGGTAGTTGAGCTGGCTACAGCCCAGAGGTTTATGGCAATAAGACAAACTACAGTATGTTTTCAGCGATTATGTACTAAGAGTTATTACTGTAAAGTTGACATGAAAACACTTGTTCTGTGACTTCTGCACAACTTATGCTTGCAGTTCCCATATTTTTTTAGGAGTATACTATTTGGAAATTGCTCACTTAAAGGAGAACTATGAGGTGAGTGATTTCCACTCATCCTCATAGTTAGAGCCGACCTGTGACGAAGCTGTCACAGGTCGGCTGTATTGATCGGGAATTGAGCAGAAACATGCCGTTGATCCGCTCACTTCGCAAACGTTTACATGCAGTGAGTGGTGACTGTCAAGTCACCACTCCCTGCAGGGATTCCCCTCTCCCCTCTCTAATCCTCCAGCGCCGAGTGGAGGGGCGGGCACAGCTGGCTCTCTAGATAGGCAGAGCCCGCTGTCACTCGCATTGTTGGGTGGATCTTGACCATAATGTCGGGATCCGTCCTGGCTGCGGCGCTCTCAGTATATCGCGGGCGTTAGCCCGCTATATACTAAGCTTTGAGTCACGGGAGGACAAAAAAAAAAAAAAACACTTACCCCATAGTTCTCTCAATTTTATGACTGACTCTGCTGAGTGACTGCTAAGAGCAGGATAAGCCGCCTAGAGGTTTTATTTTTTTATGTTTTTTATTTTTTTCAATAGTTACTGATTCGGCTTGCACATACATTGTCGAATATTTATTTCCAATGCTTTTTTTTTTGTATACATCTGCACACCCTGCATTTTGAAAGTCCTTTTGCTGTTCTGTTACTTCCTTGTTCATGAATTTTGAATATGCATGAACTATTTGCATAGTCTGCCATAAAATAAAGATAACCACTTAAGTGAGCTACTTTTAATCTCCATATGAAATACCCCCTAAGAAAATGTGGGACCCTTAAGCATTTTATGTGCATGTCACAACAAAAGTGTTTTTGAATATGCATGTAAAAGCAGATAAAATAAGCCCCCAAAAAGCCAATATATTACCTCTAAATAAGGCTGTCATGGGGCTTCACTGCTTATTTATTTAGCCACTTCGTGCTGCAGTGGCAGTAATTAGAGGTGCTCAGATGGGTTCAAGATCCTTGAAGAACTGATCCTTAATTTTTCCAATCTTTTGGAAGTTTTTTTTTTTTAATGCATTATAAGATAAACTAGGTTTGCTTCAAAAATGTTATAACTTTGGTTTTTTTGGTAGGTGGGTTACCCCAATGTTGGCAAGAGCTCAACCATTAACACGATACTGGGGAACAAAAAGGTTTCTGTTTCGGCGACTCCAGGACACACAAAGCACTTTCAGGTATTCAATGTGGAGTTCATCCGTCCATCTGCAAAACATGTATGAGGGAAAAAAAAGATCTACACTTTAAACCCTTTGGAACCAATACAATAGTTGTCCAGCCCGGTAAGGTAGATTGTGTTCAACAGCAAAACCCCTGGAAGTTAGTAAGGACGCACTTGAATGGTCTCTCTGTCAGAGGCTGATGTGTTTATTCCGGAGGACAAAGTAGTAGATCACCAGCACTCGAAAGATATCGCCCGAGAAAGTGACCCTGCTTGGCCATGAAACGTTGGCTATCTGATATATATGTGACGCTATATATCAATAAATACAAGGATTTAAAATGATATCTTTCGAGTGCTGGTGAACTACTACATTCTCAGCTTGAACATGCATGGCGCCATCCGTGTTTTATCACTATAAGCACTAAGGATGGGCTCGGGCGTGTTCGCAGCTCCACGTGCCGAGCCCGCCAGGAAGCTGACAGCGCCGCAGCGCCAATCACAGGCACTGTGACATTTCTCGATCTCTGCTGAACATGCATGGCGCCATCCGTGTTTTATCACTATAAGCACGAAGGATGGGCTCGGGCGTGTTCGCAGCTCCACGTGCCGAGCCCGCCAGGAAGCTGACAGCGCCGCAGCGCCAATCACAGGCACTGTGACATTTCTCGATCTCTGCAGCTGCGGACCGGGAAAATGTCTCAGTACCTGTGATTGGTGTTACGCGCTGTCAGCTTCCTGGCGGGCTCGGCACATGGAGCTGCGAACACGCCTGAGCCCATCCTTAATGAGCACCACATCTTCTACCGGTTCTAGACGCTGAAAGGAGTGCAGGTGATACTTCTACATTCTATTCTGGAGGACAGATTTCTAGATACATGAAAGAGGGACTGTGCGTCTAGTGATGGGCAGTCTTCTAAACTGCTGAGCCATATTCAGGCTAGTATGTTATGACTGGCATCATTGCCTGTGTAGTCATTGGTATTTGAAGTGACAGTTTAGTAATTACAATGATGCCAAACCCAATTATCATCTTTAATTATAGCGACAGCCATCTGTATGTTCCTTAAAGCTCTGCATTGCTTTTCATGGATACTCGTAGCCACTGTAGTAGAACCTTACAGTGTATTTCCACTTCTGCACTCCAGGACTGAAAAATCCTGCTTAGTTTTTACTGTCTTGAAGACCCTGCCTGTATTGTGCTGGCAGATTTAATTGTCACTTGGAAGCTAGATGAGCAAGATGCTCTGTCCTAAATAAGGGTTAAGGCCCTGAGGACTTTGAGGGGAATTTATCAAAGTTGGAGGAGCAGTTTCCCATGGCAACCAATCGGCTTCTATCTTTCATTTTCAAAGCTTAAAGATGAACTCCAGGAAATGTTATTAATCCTTACAGTGGGGCTACCCCCGCACTGCAAGGGTTAAATGCTCGTTTGTGTCGAGGTAAAAAAAAGTTTTACTCGCCCAAAGCTCGGAGCTGGCTTCTTAGACCGGTCCTTCCAACATCTCTCCCCTTCCTCTGCAGTGGTGTAAGGTCCTGTAAATCATAATTTCTATACACCGTGTCTAGCAGAAGATTCCAATGCTGCAGGGAGGGAGAGACAGGCTGGAGGGAGCGCTGTAACAGCTGGCCATTGCTGCAGGTGAGTATTACTTTGTTATTTGTGAACCCACTGCAAGTGTTCTTCTTTTAAGCAAACAAAGTTGAGAAAAGTTGATTGGTTACTATGAGCAACTGCTGCATATTTTGTCTGCTTCAGTTTTAAGAAATTCCTCCCCATTGTATGGTAACGAGGGGGAGCTCAGTCTATCCCTAGTCTTTCTGTTAGGACAGTCAGTCTCCCGTTACTGGAATTGAGAGAAGCTTGTAAATGTCTGCAACTCAAAACATCCAAAAGGTAAGATCTTTTTTTTTAAAATATGTTTTTGGATATCCTGTGTGTACCCTAAATTTTGGCTACAAAAGTGCAAATACACTTTAAAGTATATATTTTAGGGGGCAAACATTAAAGTGAACCTGTCAGAAACCTGGATAACTGAAACTAAAAATGTATAAGAAGAGTTTACCACCAGTAAAGGCCGCATGTCAAGATTGGTTGATTCATAAATAGAGGCAGTTGAAGTATTGGCATACTTAAACCTTTCATCAAAGTTGGCTGAATCCAATGCCCTCTTTACTTCTGCGCTTCACTGCTGACGGAGGCTAGCTCCACTGTCTATCTCTAGATCTACTGACCTTTGTCATATGCAATTATCACTGAAGGTAGCCCTTTGCTTGTCATCATATGCTTGGTCCATAATACGTTGTAATATCTGTGTTTATTTTTTCTCTTATTTCTATTACTTTGTAAAATATTTTGGTGCAGACTTCTCTTGAGAGCAATGCTGGATTGACATTAATCCTATACAGTATTATAAAGATGTCTGTCACTTTCTTCTGTTGTAGACACTGTATGTGGAGCCTGGCCTCTGCCTCTGTGATTGCCCTGGTCTTGTAATGCCATCCTTTGTCTCCACCAAAGCAGAGATGATATGTAGTGGCATTCTGCCGATTGACCAAATGCGAGACCACATCCCACCAATCTCACTCATATCCTTTAAAGAACAATTCAAAATAATGCTGAACTCTGTCTAAAAGGCATTTTTATTTGGAGTATTTTAGTGTTCAAATAATTTTTTTTTAATACATTTATTTTGATACCTTTTCTATTAAGTTACATGTATATTGCAGCCTTGCGTGGTATGGAGTTTAAAATTGCCGTTTTATTTAAAAAAAAATGTATTTGGGAAATTTGCAGCTCCACCTAATTGCACACGGTGTATGAAACCTCCATATTGCCAGGCTGATTGCAGCGGTCAGCAGGTTGATGTGTGTATGGCTGCCCATTGCCGCCTCACTTGCTTACTAATCTTAAGGTGCCCATACACCTTACGATTATCGGACGATTTTCGTATGCGATCGACTTTTCGGCCGATAATCGTATGTGTGCATTGCAGTGTCCGACCGACAGTACTGTACAACCGTACGACTTTTGACGGTCAAGCATGTTTGAAAACTTTGCTAGATTGTACGATTGTCGTAAGGTTGCTGGCGTTTCCGTCCGTCAAAAGTTGTACGATCTACACTGCGCTTGCACTAAAACGAAAATACGGCAAATCAATTACCGCATTTCGTCCAGGTGCTTTTCGTTAATTACGGCTAAATTAATCTTGCGATCATCGGGGCAGGATGGGGCTGCCATACGAAAATCGTACGACTATTTGATCATCGGACGAAAAGTTTTGTCCGATAATCGTAAGGTGTATGGGCACCTTTTTAAACTAGGTCAGACCTGCTCGTTGGAACAGACACAGCTGTCAAGTACGTTCACTCATGAGATGTGGTGTGTGGGCTAAAGTGCTGGTGATATGTGAGGTGGTTTATCTTGCAGCACCAATCTTTTCAGATACTGGATGTCAGGATACCATGAACAATTCCTATAGGATAGATTATTTCCCTGAGATGCACAGCCTTGGTCCATCTCATGTAGGGAAGAATGTTTTAATATGACCTTTTAAGGAAACCCGTCATTATTATAGATTTTAATTTATATCGGTCATTGAAGACCAGTATATTTTTCATTGTATTTTCTAAGGTGCTCATCCCATTTTTAGTATGTTAATAATATTTAGTAATTATTATATCATAATGTTAGTAAGAGTAACCTTGGGTTATGTCGTTTCCTCTTCTACTTTGTTGAAATATGACTCGCAACATAATTATTTTCAGCTTTGACAAGTTGCTTTTGTTATAAATTTCCTGTTTATTGGTGTCTAGTATTTCTTAACTAACATACATTGCGCAGCGGATCCCGCGATATGTATTAGAGGCCATTTATGGAATCAATATTATCAGACCTAGGGAGGATGAAGATCAAGACCGTGCTCCAACCTCAGAGGAGTTTCTCTCTGCTTATGGGTGTAAGTTCTAGCTTAGCCTGTTGTCCACAAATGCAGCATTTTACAGCTAATCCTAATCTCCGATAAGGAAATAAAACTCTCTTATCTATGGCATAGACATAACATGGTGGTGGTCTAAATCGTGCAATGTTTGTATGTATTTGCTTATTAAGAAAGTTCAATAACGTAAAATGATCCTAGCTACATACCACCATTAGGCCTCATTCACACTGCCACACATCTACGTGCGTGTTGTACCATATGCAGCATATGCAAATAAATGGCTCCATACACATAGCTGCGTATGGAGCTGTATATTTGCGTAGCGTAAAAATGCGCAAAAACAGAATGGAACCGAGATGCGTATTTTATGCGCATACGCACGTTTGCACGCGTATACGTACGTGCGTACAGTTCATTAAAATTTCTATTACGAATGATGCATTCTGGGATTGCATATAGTGCACGCATGTACGTGCGAATACATACGCGTATATACGCAATATACAATTTTGCTCTTGCGTTGTGTGTGAATGAGGCCTTAGCATCAATCCTATAATTGTTTTCAGTCCTCCTGAAGTGTTATGGCTGCTTTCCATTCTGTAAACAGTCCTTTTTGCTCATACAAACAGGAGAAAAGCTGTCCGCACACCGGATTCCGCTGGAATGGTTTATTGAAGCTTGTACCACATCACTGGTGCCCTGCTCCAGACACATCAGAGGGAGTGGACCTTGGGTGGGAGACCAGTGATGTGGTACAAACTTCATTAAACGATTGCATTTTGTACCACAGCTTTTCTTGTGATTGTATGAGCTCATGTTGGAGTGAGGATGTACTCCCAGCGGCAAACGCCCGGCTCATTCCTTCCCTGAGCCATGGAGGAGCAGCGCTTCTTTTGTGTGTTGTCCTTTTGGCTTATTGTATCCAAAGATGGATGAACATTTGTACAGAATATGCATACGTGTTTTCTGTACCTGGAAGCATTGTTTTCATATTATCTGGTCCCCTTGTATATGTATTCCTAACCATACAGTTTTCTTGTAGAGAAAGTGTTTAGATTTAATTTAAGGCTCTTTTGTACAAGAGATAGATGGAATGAATAACCAACCACGAGTTTGGCAAGCACTGGCTTTTGATACATGTGTACATGAGATGGCATGCTGCTTCATTACTTTCTGTCCCACCACCTTTGTCTTTGTATAAACAGGTACACTCCGCTTATTTGAGCATGCATGCTTATGTAGCTACTGGATGATAGTGAAACCAGGGGGATGGCTGTTTGTCTGTCACCGAATGGCCTTACAAAGAAGCTTCTCCTATCTAGTTCTCTGAATGCAAATTTACTTAATAAAGGAACAGAATTCTGTTTGACATATACAAGTAATGAAAATGTTGTATTCTTGCAGATATGAGGGGATTCATGACTGCACATGGGCAGCCAGATCAGCCAAGGTCTTCAAGATACATTTTGAAGGACTATGTCAATGTACGTTTCTCATGTTTTTTATTAGAAGCTTAAAAATAAAAGTCTGGATTATTTATCAGAACCATATAAACAGTGTATTTCTCTCTTAGGGAAAGCTACTATATTGTGACTCTCCTCCTGGAATAGATCCGTCAGACTTCCAGCCTCAGCACGCTGCATATCAGGAAAGAAAAGCTGAATGTTCTGGAGCTGAGACAGGAACTCACAGCAGCAAGAAAGTCAAACACATTGAAAACGTGGTAGACAAAAACTTTTTCCATCAGGTACAGTTCATGAATCTCTATCTTCTCTTCACTTTTACAAAAATGTTTTTTGTTGTGCCAGTGAAATAATACATGTTTAGCGTTTTACAGAGCAGTCCCAGTGAAAAGAGTCCTATTGCTGCAGAATGATAAACCAGTATTTAGTTATGTCATAAAATCAGTGGTTTGCCTGGCTTCTTGCTGGCATCCTGAATGACTTGAACATCAACCTTGGCTTGTATGTGCTTGCACATATTAGTGATAATTACACTTCCTGCCCCTTCAGAAAAGAAGACTAGTTTCTGTCAAAATAGTTTTTGTAGCACAACAGAAACCCTGCACCAATTGCCATTTTACTCTCTGAACGCATCAGATCCACATTACTGAAGCCAATGTTGACCTACCAGATGAACACAATTTTCCAAGATCCATGAAGTGTGATCTGCCTGTTTTGGATACAATTTAGATGGATTAAGTAGTTCCTTGTACTACATAGCTGTCATTCAATGTTGCTCATCTGTTCATTAAGACTCCGACTCTGTATATCTAGCTTAAAGGAGAACTATGAGGTGAGTGATTTACACCCATCCTCATAGTTAGAGCTGGCATGTGACATTGAAACTTTCACACGTTGACTCTATAGATCGGGAAGTGAGCGAACACATAACGTTGCTCGCTCACTTCCCGATCATCTTCCTGCAGTGAGCGGTGACTATCAGTCACTGCTCCCTGCTGGGATTCCCTCCTCCCCTCTCCGATCCTCCAGCAATGACTGGAGGGATGGCTGGGGTAGGGGGTGGGCACAGCTGGCTCTGCTTCTAGATAGACAGAGCCTGCTGCCTATCAGCCAGCTGGGTGGATCTCGACAGTATTGTCGGGAGCCATCCCGGCTGCGGCGCTCTCAGTATATTGCAGGCAACAGCCCACTATATATTGAGCTTTGGGTCACGGGAGGAGGTTAGTATATGTCCTCCCGTGCCCCTAAAGAGAACTATGGGATAAAAAGGATACCCCAAAGTTCTTTTTAAAAGGCTTAGTTCACTGATTTTATTCTTCCTCCTTTTTTTGTCACTTGAAGTTTAACTATGTGCAGGTATAATAGTGTAATACCTCCTTACCTGAATATTGGCAACACAATCGGTAAGTACAGGGCCAGGCCTGTCGCAGCTATAAGTAGAAAAGCCTGATCGTTGGTAGAGTCCACAAGACCTGTGCCTCCTGGATGTGGCGATGGCCTGTCAGGAAGCAAAAAAAAAAGTGGCTGGAACACGGGCAGTTCACAGCGGCACAGAAGCATTCCTGAGAAGGAATATATGCCCTATTCCGTGCCTGAGTCATGCATTCAATCCAGGGAATTATTCCTCTGATGGCTCTGCATTGCACTGCGTTGTCACATGGGCGCTACAGAAAACCCAGTTCTTGGTGTCCATTCTTCTTAATTTCTCTGTGGAGAAGATGCAGATGCACTGCAGTCAGAGAGGGTGGGTAAGTGCGAGAGTGCAAAATTGGCAATGGCTTGAGCACACAACGCCATACCAAAGGCTTCATTTCATAATGAAAATTAAAAATCTACTCTGAAAGGTGAACTAAGACTTTTAAGTATCCAGGTATTTGAAAGCAAACCTTTTCTGTAACAACCAGATTCCATTCCGGTTGGAACTATACAACAACCTGCAAGGAAAGCTGTAGGGGTTATAAAATCTCAGTTGGCCTAAGAAATTAAAAGTAGGCCTTGAGAAGATGCCTTAAACTCAACTTTGTTCATCCCGGGAGCCCCTGAACTCAGCCATCTCTCATGAGACGGGTTTGACACTCCTGTATCCCTACGTGCAATGTGCTCTGCCTTCTGTATGACCAGTGCAGGAGTGCTCACTGAAAAGGTTCTCGGAATGCATGTACAGAGAGAATTATGAAGGTTGCCACGGCTGATCCTTGGCGGTCTCTGGTTTCTGTACTTTGAGTTAGTGACTGGTAGCAACCATTGTCCATTGTGTAACAAGATTGTGGCCAGCTTTAGGAAGAACAGAATATGTACATGCAGACCATGTGTGTATTTTGATTTAACCTGAACATTTATAGGAAACTTGTAAAGTTGTCAGCAATACATAAACTGTATTTGTGGAAATGTGGAATAAGAAAGACCGATTACCGTTACATCTAGGAGTTAATTGATTGGTAAATATAAAAGTAATGGAAGTTGGACTGCTAGTTGTTGGCTCATAATATAACATAACATTTTGTCCTGCAATTACTTTTTTTTTCAGGAGAACGTCCGTGCTCTGACCAAAGGTGTGCAGTGTGTGATGGGATACAAGCCGGGCAGTGGCCCTATACCATTAGCTACAGTCAGCACAGAGACTATATCAGGAAAGCCTTGGAAAAGGCATGGAAACCAAAACAAGAAGGAGAAGATACGGAGGCTTAACAAGCACCTGGATGCTTGACAAAGTACTAAAAAAACCTCTTAATAATGGAACCAAAAACTATACTTTTAATTGTGCCAACCAGATTTGACTGATTTTTAACATTCAAACCAAATTAACTAAACTAAAGTCTTTTGGTTTTTCCTTTTTAACTAGATTATTCAGAAAAATACTGTATACAGGACCATGGGAAAGGGAGAAGATGTGCTGTGATAGTAGACACATACTCTGGGTCTTATTCATCAAGATGTAGTATTTATTTAGAAAGTGTTTCACTTGTTAAGATCAAGTAATCTCAATCAAAAGAAATCTCAAATGGGCACAGTAATAAAAAGCTGACAGGTTTATGTCCCAGCAATCTACAGCACTGTAACAACTTGCAATCTCTATATGACAAATTTAAAAAAAGAAGCATTGGAAGTCTTGCAAGCTACGTTTATCTTATTGCGTGCAATACTCTACCCATGTGTTTGGTTTGCCCTGTATAGCTTTCAGATTTTAAAGACATTCTTGCAGTAAGTTTTATCTACCTCAGATTTACAAGTAGCACCCATCACAATCTCTGTACAGCACGTGAAGATGGCCTTGAGATGTTATAACGTACAATGACATGTTGTAGGCCATAGCAAACAGCTGGTGAGTTAGCAGCTGACCCCTTCTACATATCATTCTTGATTTATTTACTCTGAGTCGCTGCACATCATTGATCTTGGTGTCCTATTGTCAAATTACAATCCTTGATCTTGGTGTCGTATTGTTGTGCTGTACCATCTATTTAAAATGATCTGTGGAAATTAAATGGTAATGTTCGTATTTACCAATGACACAAACTTTTGTAAAATAATAAAGTCCGCAAGATAGGAACATTACAGAAGGATGCAACGTGGGGTGCTGACATGTAATATTCAGTGTTAAAAATGTAAGGCCCTATACCAGTTGTAGTAAAAATATAGCTTTAAACTTTAAATAGAATAAAACTGAGCTGGGAGAAGGATTTGGGATTACAGGTTAACAGTAAACCGAGTAGTGCCACTTGATGGCCAGTCGCAGCTGCAAAAACAAAATTGAAGGAAATTGTGTTGAAAATAGGGTATGTGAAACTTTGCACTTTTGCAGCCAAAGTGGGATAACACCTACATTATATTTTGTTGTGTTCTCTATCACATGGTGTAACTTGAAGAAAAAAATGCTGGCTATATATTGTTTTCGGATTTTAGTTTTGTCCTCTAATCTGAATGTTCCTATGGAAGGGGGAGGCTGAGGAGATCACCATAATTATCCTTGTCTGTACAGTGCTGGCAGATCTAATTATGAGTTGTAAACTAGACTTGAACACTTTCTGCTCGAATGAAAAGTTCAACATCTAGTTGCAGTTTCTGTTCATGAGAGAATGCTCAGGGTGTCCCCAGCCTTTATATAGGGGAAAGCCAATTTCCTGTCTTTCTACAGAGAGGCTTGCAGTTTGTCGAAAGCCTGCTCCACAGAGATATCTAAAAGGTAAGATTTAAAAAAAAATTATTTTTAGGTTTGCTGTGTGAAAAGGAACGCATAAACTTAGTGGGGTTTTCTCAAATTTGGCTGCAATCTCTACAACAAAACAGCAGCTGACTGGATTCTGAGTCTGAAGCCATGCCTCATCTAGCATTCATTTAGGTAAATGACAGCTGAAATGCAACTGCAGCGGCCCGATAATTCAGTAAGTGACTCATTAATGCTCTGGAACTGCAGCTAATCAGGAAAGGTCAAGTACTGTCAAGTGACAGTATCTGAGCATCCTGATTGGGTGCAGTTCCATTGTACAATGTTACTGTGTTAGAGTAGGCTTATGAAATGCTTCTTGAATGCTATTTAATTCTTTTTAGCTGTCATTTATCTGAATGTATGCTAGATGAAACTCGGCTGCAGACTCAGAATTCACCTACAGTGGGGTTGATGGAGACTTTCTGCACTCCTTATCTCAGCATACCTGGGTACCCCACAGAATTGGTCCAAAATCTCCAGCTAACAGCCACGACTTCTCTCAGGCTTGGGCTCCAGCGGCCGGCATTGCTGTTGATAAAATGTACATAGCAGCAGATTTGTTTATCCATGCTGTTAGTGTGTTTTCATAGTAGCAGAGACCTGCAACCAGCTGTCCAGGTTTTGTGAGTACTTTACATGCCTTACCACAACATATCTGATTCTATACATGGTGGGACAGTCCCCCAACTCACACTCTACTGGCTGCTTGCAGCTCTGATGTCTACAGTATAAAATCATGTTACTTTCTGCTCCTAAAGTCTACTCCGTCATCCGAGTCCTCTTTGGCTCTGTCCATGCATTGTCAATATTGCCTGTTGCCCATGCAGCGTGCTACCCACATTTGTGACCTACCTTCTGTCACAATTGCCAGCGTGCCATGATTGCCAGAGTGTTACTCCCAAATTATCGATGTGGAGCGCACCCCTCTGAAGCTAGAGGATCAGCATGATGTTTCTACCAGTGCCGTTTCTAGTTATGAGTCCTTTAAAGCTCCTAAGGCCACAAAAACATTCCCACTGCACCTGCTTCTCCAACGCTTTCTCTTTTGGAGATTGGAAGCACCCTGAAAAAACTGTTTGCACCCACCCCCAAGCGCGTATTAGCCTTGTAGCTTTTTTGGGAAGGATTTTGTACAAACATGGTCCATTACCACTGTGGATCTGGCAGTGTCCCGCTTCAACAAAGTGGCTTCCATACCAGTAGAGGGTGCACAAGGACCATAGCAATAAGGGTTTGGAAGGCCTCTCTAGATTTCTGTGCTTGCTCCCTTACCCTTTAACCCATACTGGCTCTGGCTTTACATTGCTACTCTTTCTGTAATCTTTAAAGTAGGGATGCACTGATACTGGGTATACTTGTACTCGTGAAAATGTCCCGATACTATGCGTCGATATTGGCACTTTAAATTTTGAAACAAACTGCTGCTGTAAGGTCCTGTGCTTGCTGGGAACCTCAAGGCAGCCTTCTGGGGGACCTCGCGGTGCTGCTTACAGTACCGGCCGCACATCTTCCCCTTACTTTGAATTCCCATCACCCACCTCTGGACCCCTGGTAAGACGCCGCACAGCCTTGGTGAGATGCCATGTGGCCCTCCTAACACCCCGCATGACCCTGGTGAGAGGCCACACAGCCCTGCTAACACCATGAACAGCCCACCATAGACCCAGCACATCCCACCCCGGAGCAATACATGTAGTATATAGACATGTGCGATTTGTATCGTTCCGAAACGAAATTCAGACGGAGACGTTTGGATGAAATTTCGTTGCAGCAAAGTGACATTAAAAAAAAAAGTCTGCAGAAGAAAAAAAAAAAGTGAGGTCCCCCCCCCCCCCAATTCATACCAGAACCTTTAGGTCTGGTAGGAATGTTAGGAGGGACCCCACCCCAAGTTAAAACAAAAAAAAAGCAGGTGGGGTCTCCCCCAAAATCCATACCAGGCCCTCTAGGTCTGGTAGGAATTTTAAGCCCTAAAAATTGTGGGGTCCCCCCTAACATTCCTGCCAGACCATTGATCCGAGCACTGGCAGGGAAGGAAGGGGGGGCGATCGAGCGCCCCCCCCCCTCCCTGCGCCTTACCAGGCCACGTACCCTCGGCATGGGGAAGTTGTCCACATGCCGAGGGCCTCTTCTCCACAACCCTGACTCGGTGGTTGTGAATAAGGGGTACTTGTACCCCTACCCATTCACTAAAGGGTTAAATAAAATAGTTATTAAAAAGTCCAGACTTTTGATTCATTTGATCATTGAAGAAAAAAAAACAGACAATTTTTGACTATTCCTTTACTTAAAAAGAAAAAAAAATTGCTCCATCGATGTAATCCAGCATCAATCACGATGCACGACACTCGCCGCAATAAAAAAAGTCCGACCGCTCGCAGCAAAATTACATTCCTACTCGAATGTAAACAGATGGGTGGAGTGAGCCGTGACGTCTCGGCTCGCTCCGCCCATTTGACTTTCTCAGCTGTCAAATACTACATAGCATTCGGGAACTCCCGAATGCCATTCGGGTCTGTGAGCCGAGGTGTCATAATACTTTTCATATGACACCTCGGCTCACAGACCCGAATGGCATCCGGGAGCTCACGAATAACATTCCCTAAAGGGTCTGGTATGAATTGGGGGAACCTCACGCTTTTTTTTTTTTTCTCTTCTGCAGACAAAAAAAAAAAAATTCTATTGTCACTTTGCTGCAACGAAATTTCGTTCAACAAACGAAGTTTCGTCCAGACTACAGCTAACGAATTTAGTCAGAATCCAGAAACTAATTGAATTTCGAACCCGATAAACGAAATAATGCAAAATCCGAAACGAAACAGATTTTTTGCCGGTGCTCATGTCTAGTATATAGCTTCATATTATTCTGCATTGCTTTATAATGTATTGCTGGGATTTAATCCCTCTATAGCCGGTGTCATTCTGTATTGCTAGGATTTGTAGTCCTATATTAGTATTATTATTATACAGGATTTATATAGTGTCAACAATTTGCACAGCGCTTTACAATATAAGGAAGACATTACAATACAATTCAAGACAAGATGGTAAGGAGGGCCCTGCCCCTGAGGGATTACAAACTAAAAGGGAGGGGCAAGTGATACATGAGGAGGTAGCTGTGTGGGGATGAATTGTTCGAGAAAGTGATGGTTCAGTGGTTAGGTTGAGGTGGGATAGGCTTCCCTGAAGAAATGAGCCTTTAGGGATAGCCTAAAGGCAGTCAGAGTAGGAGATAGACGGACAGGTTGCGGTAAGGAGTTCTAGACGATGGGAGAGACTCTAGAGAAGTCCTGGAGGCGAGCGTGGGAGCAGTTGATGAGGGAGCAAAAGCTCTATAGCTGGTGGTATTCTGCATTGCTATAAAATGTATTACTGGGATTTGTAGTCCCTCTACAGCCTGGAGTCCGGTGGCAGAGCCACCACTGGGCCCTGGCACTCCACCACTGTCCTAAAATCATTAGTCTGTATTGTTTTTAAAAAACTCACATGACACACACACAAAAAAAAATTAAGGTATCGGTAATTGGTATTGGCGAGTACTTAAGGAAAAGTATTGGTACTCGTATTCAGTCTGGAAACAATGGTATTGGTGCATTTCACCACTGATATCACTGTTGCGGTTGATCCCTTGATTATAGAACGTGTGGAGCAAAAGGCAATACCTTTTTAAATTTCAGTTGTGATTGTTTGCTGGAGCTTTCTAGATCTCTCCCATAGTGCTCATGCCTGTACACATGTGTGGGGCACTTTGGTTAAAGTGCTGGAATAATGTCCAAGAAGCATCAGATCCACATAATCTTAGGAGGTAAAATGTATCTTTGGATCTACTCGTGATACCTCTTTCAAGGACAGTACTGGTGACAAGAGCACCCATCTTTCTCTTGTGGAAGAATCCTAAGGTTTAGACTCCAATGTTTTCTCCCTTTTTTAACTGTTTCCTTTTTGTTTATCCCCTCCCATGTCCTCTCAAGTTGAGACCCCCCCAAGCTTGGCTCCCAGTAAGGATGGCATTCCAAGTCTGTCAAATTCTCACACAAGCTTTCGGCATGAAGGTGCGTCTTCACTTTACAGAGTGGTGGGATGTTTGCTGCCCCTTGAAGACAGTTGGGCAGCTTGCATCTCAGTCGCTTGGCTGCAGGAGGTGGCATCCCAGAGCTACAAATTGTTTTACATATTATTTAAATAGTTGTGGTGCCTGCCACCTCGTTTTCTTCCCTTCAACCTTCCAGTGTCGCTGCATAAATTAGCAGAGCTATTGGGTCTTCTGGGCCAAGGTGTTGCTCCAGTTTCTGTGGCAGAATGGTTTTATGGATTTTACTCTAGCCTGTTCACCATTCCCAAACCCAAAGGCGGCGTCCTCCCCATCTTGAATCTCAAAGCTCTGAAAGTTTTAATTTTTGCACACAAATATTGCATTGAATCCATCAGGTCTAACACCACCTCCCTTTTACCAGGGAGACTTTCTGGCAGACAATGTGGCTTTGTCTGAATATTATAGTGGTTTGGATGGATCCTTCAGCAATTGTGGCTGGAGACGACTCACCATTTGGAGTATCTGTGGCTAGTTCTGGACATAGCTCCGGCCAGAGTGTTTCTTCCACAGGAAAAACTTTGGACTCTCAGAATCTCAGTTTCTAGCTCTCCAATATAGGGAGTTGTCTGACTCTCCACTTTTGCATAAGAGCCCTTGGTCTGATTATAGCCTTCTTTGAGGCAGTTCCTTTTGACATGTTTCACTGACTTATCTCTACAATGCAACATTGCGCTATCGTGCGACAAGTAACGAAAGTCTCGGGACACACTGATTCCTTTGGCACCGACGACCAGGTTGTCCTTGACTCGGTGGCTCAGAAACCTGCCTCTGAAATCGGGGAAGTCCTTCTTTACCATCTTTTGAAAGATCCTCATGATGGAAGCCTTACCCCTGAGCAACCTGTCAGTGCAGGAGACTTGTCAGAGGAGTCTCATCTTTCAAATCAACAGCCTGTGTGTTTGTAGGGACACACACAGCTTGCTAGCACACACAAGGGTGGCTCTATAGAACCCTGCAAAGGAAGGGAACCACCCTAAAACAGGATATGAGGACCAGTAGATTCTGCAGGAAACTAAAACTTTTAAACATCAAGGAGCAGCATCCATGGTAAGTGATGTAATTTGCATTTGAAAACACTTAAAACCTTTTGACTTTAATAACACTGTAAGTGTAACATTCTGAAGCAACCAATCAGAATTTAGGGTGGTGAAGTCAGACCAGTGCAAAATGTATCCTAATTGGTTGTTATGGGTTAATTAACTTAAAAACAGGAATTCTTTATTAAGTCTGAATGTCTCTTCGTGCCTGAAAATTCTGATTTTTATTTCCTTTTCAAATGTAGGTGTAGGACAACAGTATAATAATCACTGAACTGGATTGTTGGATCATTTTAGATATAAACAGCCCTTTGAACAAATCAGAATCTACTTTGCACTTGTGTGATAACAGTAAAGCAAGTTGTGATTGGTTGCAGCAGTACTGCACTTTGCTCATTACACTGTTTCCTAAATACACCTATTAGTCTCCCCTTGTGGTACACTGTTTAATGAGACAAATTTGCAAGCTGCCATTGCTAGTCACCTGGTAGTTTCTGGCTTTTAACCAGAACAAGCACGCACCAAGAAAAGATGGGGCAAGAACGTCTTACCTGCATACTTGCTCTTGCTTTGTGACTTAAAAGTATGGAAACCATAGGATCGGCATGACAGTCAGAAAAATCTTGTCTTTAGAAGAGGTGAGCAATGAAAATGTATATATTTCCTTAAGCACAGGCTCTTTAAATAAGAGTGTTCGTATGTATTATACCACTGTGGGCAGTTGAAGGTAGAACAGAGAGGTATAACAATTGAATATTTCAGTTCAGGTCTGTTTGTGATAGGCGTGGAAAATGGAATCAGGTAAAATAGCACAGGGTTACACAGACTTCCTGCTTGACCAGGCTTTCTGGGCAGGGCTTGCTGCCTGAAGCAGTTAGGTGTGATTGTGTATTAAGTCTAGTTCTGCAGAGCATTTAAAGAACACATCACCTGCATTTTCCAGAAGGAAGCAGACACAGATAGTGCTCACTGCACAGAGACTGTAGATAATGTAACAAATCCTCGTACAGGTAGCAAGCACACTTATCAGCCATCCAGGTATTGTGCTGATAACAGTTTCCTATGCTACTGGCTCTACGTGGACAAGATGCTCTGTGGCCTATCTCCAAGGTGACCTGTTATAAGGTACAAAGCCCTTTTACCCATGGATGGGGCCAGAAATCTCACTGGACAGGAAGATCGTGGCACGGGACTGTGGAATTTGGAATACCTGATCACCTGCTTCGCCGATGAAAAAATCTGTGTGTCGTTTGGTTTGTGGCTGCTGTCCTGCTTGTTCTGGTCCACGTCATTCTCCCTGTAATGCAAGAATGTCCTTTTATTTATTCATTTTAATAGGATAGCAAATGTTCCTCTGCTTTGTTAACAATGGATGACTGATTAGACTTAGAAATCTGAAATGTAATAACTACTGTCAGTAGCAATCCCAGCACGTAGGATAGGCTACCTGTAAGCCTAACTGCTCCATAGTAAATGTATTCCTTCCCCTTTTTTCTTTTACATTTGTAATACGTTGATTTTTATCTGAGACCGATGTTAACAAAGGGTTACATGTTTTACTAGCTGCACCCTTCTGAAGGAAAGTAATTAACTCGTAGGGTGCTACCGTAGATGTATTCAGCATGCTTAGTGGAAGTTGCTTTACATAGTAGTGAAGTAGTATGGTGTGTGACAATGTCCTGGAGTATGTGCTTTACCCAGGCGCAGTCACACTGCTAAGTAAACACTTGTTATAATACTGTAAAAAGCTGCTCCACATCATACAAGTGTAATAAAACGCACACTGGCTTTTGCTTTCCTTCCTTTGCTTGTGCAAACAACTGGATTCCTGAGAGTAGCTATGGCTGAAGGCCAAATGTGTGCACTCCTTTTTAGAAATGTAAAAATTCAGTGTTCCCTTTAGGCAGATGTATCTGACAATTATGGTCTTATGAGTTTAATTCAATAGTGTTTTGTTTTATTTTAAACTGGAGTTTTGCTTTAAAAAATAAAAAAAAGAGGCTGGCTCTACACTGTTGGGGAGCAGTAACACACGCTTGTTAATGTGTGTTGCTATAAGGCTGTCCATTTATAATCGGTTGCCTAATGCACCAAAAAAGGCAAATGCACTATTTTATGTAACGCAGCATACAACAATGCACTGGTGTGCATTACCATGTGTTATTGTGGCTTTAAAAACTAATGGCACTGTAGTGCACCAACATATAGGTGTGAGTGGGTCCTTTTTATACATTGCAATAATTGTGGCTAATGTTACAAATTTATATTTTCTTTTTGCTCTGTAGATGGGTGATAAAATCTAAAGCGGCTAGAGTACAAATCTTTGCGCTCTCTTTCTCTATCTCCCATTTTAAGAGAACTGTCATTTTACTGTAATCAATTATTGTGTAGCAGTTACAGAGTGCAGGACCCCATATACTAAACACCCATGCCCTCCAACATGACTCACTGCATAAGGTACAGAATACTCTGTTCCTGGACTTCTCTTCATCTTTCAGTCCTCTGCCATATAGGGAGGGTTCAAGGAGAGGGGTGTATAAGCAGAATATTAAGTACTTTATGGAGTTGGTCATGCGGAGGGGGGTTCTGATGCTGTAGGGCAGGGATTAATTAATTCAAGTTTAAGGAGGTCCAGTGACCAACATTTTCTTCACGCACAGGTCCAAATTGCGGTCTAGATAGAAATGTCACTATCTGTGTCTGCACCGCGATCCGTCATCTAGGCTGCATTCACACCAGCGGCTTCACTGCAACACACAGCTACTGGTGTGTTTTCCCAGACACAGTGCTGATGCATCCATCCCAGCGCATCACACTTTTTTTTTTGTTAGAGCTGGCTTCACTGAAAAAAGTGCAGCATCCATCAGAGTGCCCCTTACATCAGTTGTCCCCATCAGCGTGTCCCCCTTACATCAGTTGTCCCCATCAGCGTGTCCCCCTTACATCAGTTGTCCCCATCAGCGTTGTCCCCCTTACATCAGTTGTCCCCAATCAGCGTGTCCCCCTTACATCAGTTGTCCCCATCAGCGTGCCCCCCCTTACATCAGTTATCCCCATCAGAAAGCACCCTTACATCTAGGCTGCATTCACACCAGCGGCTGCACTGCAACACACAGCTACTGGTGTGTTTTCCCAGACACAGTGCTGATGCATCTATCCCAGCGCATCACACTTTTTTTTGTTTTGTTAGAGCTGGCTTCACTGAAAAAAGTGCAGCATCCATCAGAGTCCCCCTTACATCAGTTGTCCCCATCAGCGTGTCCCCCTTACATCAGTTGTCCACATCAGAGTGACATCCTTACATCAGTTGTCCCCATCAGCGTGTCCCCCTTACATCAGTTGTCCCCATCAGAGTGACCCCCTTACATCAGCTGTCCCCATCAGAGTAACCCCCTTACATCAGTTGTCCCCATCAGTGACCCCCTTACATCAGTTGTCCCCATCAGAGTGCCCCCTTATATCAGTTGTCCCCATCAGGGTGCCCCCTTACATCGGTTGTCCCCATCAGAGTGACCCCCTTACATCGGTTGTCCCCATCAGAGTGACCCCCTTACATCGGTTGTCCCCATCAGAGTGACCCCCTTACATCGGTTGTCCCCATCAGAGCGACTCTTTACATCAGTTGTCCCCATCAGCATGCCCTTTTATATTAGATGCCCCCTTACCTTAAATACAAAAAAAGGGAGCAGTCTTATGGGGACACCAAGTATAAGGGGGCACCCTGATGGGGACAAGAAATGTAAGGGGGCACTCTGATAGGGACCCAAATATAATAATAATTAGTTATCCCCATCTGAGTTCACCTTGCATTGCTTGCCCCCATCAGAGAGCCCCTTTACATTGCTTGTCCCTATCAGAGTGCCCCCCTTATTTTTAAATTTAATGTAAGCGGGCACTCAGATGGCAGTAACTAATATAAGAAGGCACTCTGATGGGGGCAGCTAATGTAAGGGGGCACTCTGATGAGGGCAACTAACAAGTAATTGTCCCCATCAGTGTGCCCCCTTACACTGGTTGCCCCGAGAGTGCCCCTTTAAAATGCTGCTGCAACATTAATTTGGTATGGAGCAGGTAGAGATGAGAGGCGGGGATAGGAGTAGGAAGTAGGCGGGAATGGGATGAGCCGGGGCAGACTTCAGGCTACAAGGGAGGATGGAGGACGATACTTTTCCATTCTCCCTCAATGCTGGGTGGGAAACAAAGCTGACGTCATTGGGTGCTAGGAACGCTGCGGTCCTAGCAGCCAATGACTGAGGAGGAATGTGGACATGCAGTGGGTTATGGCTGGCTGTGGATGTGCCAGCCTCATAGGCCGGTGTTCTATCGAATTCTCCAACTTGTCGAAACCTCCAACTCCCGTCAGTGCGCCTGCGCAGCCATGCAAGAGAAGTATCAAGCTCATCAATCTTCGGCAGTGCACCTGCGCGGGCACCCGATGCCACAAGCACCCACCGGAGTTGGAGAACTCTATGACAATTTCAAAGCCCCACAGGTGTACATATGGCAAGTGCAGAAGTCAACGAGGACTTGCAAAAACTGTGATGCTGGTGCACGTGCACTAGTGCCATCTCGTCAAAATCTACAAAGGCGTGGCTTCACGGGTTGGCCACCTCGACTCAACACTGGCACATCCACTGTCAGCCAGCTATAACCTAGTCGGCGATCACGGTCTGGATAGACCTGCTGTTCAGTCCAGATCCGGACTGCGGTCCGCTATTTCCGGACCCCTGCTGTAGGGTTTCAGCCAAGAACCTCTATAACACAGCTAACTGGTCCTTATATTTCATTTAATTTCAGGAATTTCTACTTACGATGCAAGAGAAAATCCAAACATGAGGAATCAGTATTTTGGAATATTTATAGCTTCTTTGGCTCCATGTGTAATGCAATTGGATCCCTTCTGTCAAAGCAGCTTACAATCCAGGTATATGCATGAATGTGTACTTTAATTTTACACTTTAAATACATTTATTATAGCTCTTGTCCAGAGCTCTATAATTCTTTTTTTTTTCATAGTATTATCTCCAAGAATTATATATAGCAATGAGTCTTAAGTAGCAGCTGGAAGGGCTTCTTATTTCCTTACTAGACCTCCTGCACTTCACCTGACTTAACATAACTCAATCTTTCCTTATTTATTTTTCTTCCTTCCTTCATGTATTAAAGAGTACAAGCATGTGGCAAAGAGCTAAGTTTTAGTGGTACACTTCACATTCTACACAGATTGCCAGGAAGTGGCATATTTGGCACATCTGAGCCCCAGTGCAAGATATCAGTCAAAGGCCCTGTGCTTCAGTCCTGTTCCCACTGCTCCAGACATAGCATTCCCAAGTGATATGATTTTCCCCTTGCAGGTTACCCCCCCCCTCCACCTTGCACAATATGTCCATCTTCTCTTAGCGAAGTGATTTAGCTGTACACTTACTCAAGGTGACAGCAATCCAGGGGGACTTGGATATGGCCAGATGATATTCTAAATTAATGCTTGAATTAGAAGGAAAAAGTGTGCGTAAAATACCCTATGATAATACCAGTTTAGGGTTCAGCTAAATGTGTGCTCCTCCCAAAATTCACAGTGGTAAGGAGTGCTGGGTCCACTCTATAATGGTTGGAGAACGTATTCCTGGAGGAAGCTGCTCTGCAGATCGTCTCAGCGGAAACCTTTGCGTATGCTGCACAGGAAGCTGCCATGCGCCCTCATGGAATGCGCCCTTATCTCCTCAGGTGGATGAACACCCCGATTGGAGTATGCCTTTCTGAAGACTTTCACCAACCACGCTGCTATAGTGCGCACATAGGCTGCGCAACCCTTTTTGCATCCCCAGGGGATGACGAGGAGATTATCCACCAGACGAAACGGTTGCGTTGCACCAATATATGCCTGTAGAGTGATGGATACATCAAGTGCATGTGGCGCACCTCCATCATCCATAAGAGTTGGGAGAATGATTTCTGGATCGAGAAGGAACGAGGAGGTAACCTTTGGAAGGAAGGGTGAGTTCTCAGAATGACCCTGTCAGGGAAGAACGTGCAAAATGGTTCTGTGACAGTAAGAGCGTGCAGCTCGGAAACACGTCTCGCCGATGTAATGGCCAGAAGGAAGGTGGTTTTGAGAGTCAAGTCCCAGAGAGATGTCTCCTCTTGGTGAAGGTACGAGGAGCCGTGGAAATGCCGAATGGAAGGCACACGAACTGGAAGTGTGCTCCCATGATGGCAAAGTGCAGGTGCTTCTGGAAACTGGCATGTACGGGCACGTGGAAGCCGAAAGATCCACTCGGGTCATCCAATCCTGGAGACGAATGGAGGGCAGAATCGACTGAAGGGATTCCATTCAGAAGGAGGACACCCGTATACACCTGTTGAGGTCCTTCAAATCTAGTACGGGACGTAAGTCGCCCGTTTTCTTCTTGACCAAAAATATGGGCGAGTAGAATCCTGAGTAACGTTCCCTTAGAGGAACCTCTGTGATTGGGCCCTTCTCGAGTAATGTGAGGATGTACTCTGCAAAATTGTGGGCATCTGGTCCTGATGATGGATGGTATGAATCTGCTTGCTGGCGTTCTCCTTTTGAAAGACCACCTGTGACCCAGGGACACAGTTGACAACACCCATGGATCCTGGACAACGTCTTGCCATGCTGGGGATGAAAGACTAAAGACGTGCTCCCACGCGACCTGTGGAGACCCGCTGACCGTCAAAAGGATTTTTTTGGGCCGCTGAGACCCGGACGGTGTGGCGGCCTTGGAAACTCAGAAGGGAAGATTGAGTGCTTCTCCAGCCTCTCATAAACTCTCTACCCGGTCGGTATGATCAAGCGTCCCCAGCGGGCTCCGTGGCAGGTCTTCTATTGGGGTTGAACCACGGACGTTTTTTACTTCTATCCTGTGGAAGGAGACCAGATTTACCCCCAGTCACCTTGGATATTGCCGCATCAAGCTTTGGTCCAAAGAGATTTGAACCCTCAAACAGAATGAGACACCAGCTGGTCTTCGACGCCGAATCCACCACCCATGGCCTCAGCCAGAGTGCTCTCCTGGCGGTAATTGTAGCAAGCATCGATCTGGCAGTACATCGGATGATGTCAATTGCCGCTTCCCTGGTAAAGTCGCCAGCAAGTCGAATTTCCTGTAGAGCGAGAATGATGTTCTCCCGACGTCGGAATTGAGCGCCTGCTCAATATTGCCGGTCCACGTGGAAATGGCTCGAGAAATAGAAGTCAGTGTGATAGCCGGGCGACACGCATTTCCTGAAGTCAGATATGCTTTTTTCATATCCAGATCCGCTTAGCGATCAAGTGGTTCTTTAAAAGAAACTGCATCCTCCATGGGCAATGTAATCATCCACCAGTGGAGGAGAGTTGAGCTTGGGTGCTTTATCTTCCATAAGAGGATACAACTTTGCCATGCGATTGTTAACGTTTGAAGCCTTCTCAGCCCGTTTCCATTCCTCCATAATAAGTTCCTTTATCTGTGCCCCCCATGTAGGGAAAGGCGGCCGTGGATTTCTTTAAATGTGAAAAGTAGCATCTCACCTTCGCTGGCTCCACAACTGGGTCCTCCCAGTCAATCGCCTCCTTAACCGCCGCAATGAACGGTTCCACCAGGCTGAAATCAAAGCCGGCAGGGAGGTTCCTCTGCGTCTGACATCTCTGAGTGCGTGTCAGCCTCTGTGGGCTCAGTAGGTCGCTGAGATTTGGATGGCCCATCCAGCTGGTTATACTGGCCACCATCACGGCGACAGTCTTTGAATGACTGCATAAGGAGTGACATTGGAGTGGCAGGCGGGGTAGGTGCGTCCCTGGTGGCATTGGTGAGGCAGGATTGGCAGACCAACTTGTCTGGGAGTGCCTGATTGCCGCATACCCAGCAGGCCTTGTGTGCAGGATGATGGTGGTGGTGTGAGTGGTGAGAAACCGACTCTATGCTCCCGCCTTGATCCACTTCTGCCTCTGGATCTGTAACGTCTGGGTGACCAGGGCAATCTTGAGGAATGTCTCCAATGCTCTTCGTGAGGAGGACTGAAATCACAACAATTGTTATGAAAAAAACAACCCAACACACCGTCTCTTTAAAGGCTCACACTTACCATACCCTTACCTATGAGGGGGGGAAGGGTCTCTTGTGGCAGCCTTTTCAGCCATCCCTAATGAATAAGTAGGGAAAATAATATGGGCTAAGGAACGGTACATAAAACGCATTTTGAATAAACCAATTAAAAAAGACATAAAAAGAAAGAAGAACTTACTGAGCAGATCAGACTGAGCAGAGGCCCCGCAGGATTTCATCCGGCGTTCGTTGGAGGCGACAGCCGATGCTACTGTGATGAATCCGTGAATCTTTTGAGCAGACAGGGACTGCTCAAAAGACTTGCATGCGAAGAACGCATGCACAGAACGATTTGGAAGCCGCGGGCGCGATCTTGGAAATGGACGACGCTAGTGCGCATACGCGAGAGCCGCGATCACGTACAGACAGCGCTGGAGAGTGAGGGGCGCGCGGCCCTAAGGTGGATAGGAAAGGCTGCCACGGTTTCCACGTTGGAGCAACTTGCTCATCCTGGGAACAGGCTTGTTTAAAGCCATGTAGCAGGGTCCTCGGCACAGGGGAGACTGACCCTGTTCGGAAAGCTGCGAAAAAACGGCAGCTAAGTGCTTCCCTGAGGGGGAAAGAAAAAAAAAACATACTCCAGCAGGAGATCACGGTCCCATGGCGAGGACAGAAAAAAAGAATGAGTAGGGCTCGGAGGAGCCTTAATTTATCACGTGTCCTGTGGGTTAAGAGGGGCGGATCTTAACCCATGGTATGCTACCGAGATGCTCCAGGAAAAAAAGTTTACCTTTTTAAAAGTATTAAAAAAAAACACCAAAATAGTTGAATTAATACAAATCTGGGTCAAGGGGCTGCAATATTAGTTAATAAAAATAAATATATATATTTTTTTTATACAACTTACACATAACACTAATTTATGAATGAAGGCTACAACTGTAGACTTCATTCATACATTAACAAAGAGCAGGACTGGACTTTCACAATGTAACTGGCAGAGCTGTGTGATGTGTCCAATGCTACCACTCCTAGTCACACTGACAGCAGAGTTCTAGTGATTACATTGGGAAAGCCACACCCAGTGTAATCTGCAGGACTCAGCTGTCAGTTTGACAGCTTGCTCCTTCACAGTGCAGGACACAGCCAGGCAGTGCAGAGTGACCTCTCTTGCCTCTGCCTGGCCCAGATGTATCAGACTACAAGATACAACAGAAGTGAGAACCCTGATGTGTAGGAATAAACAAATATTAGAGATTTCATTACCCAACAATTTGGCGAAAGTCAGGTGATTTCTTCAAAATTTCTCTTTTTGGCAAAATGCATTGGAGTCAATAGGAAGGGCAATATTAAAATGTATATCCACTTTTTCAACCAAAGTGGGAGAACACCTATTTTATATTTGTTACATGTTCCCATTCACATAGCATAAGCTAAAACAAATATTTAAAAAATGCTCCTTGCAATTTAAATTGCTTTTATTTGGGTAAGGGTTTCTTTGCTTTTTAAGGGTTTAAATTTCTACTTGGCTTTTCATTCTTTGTAAGGTTGGCAGGGTCTGCGAGGGGTTAAGGGATTACAATCCTGGCTTCTCCATTGTATGTTAATAAAGTTGGTGAGAGAAATACAAGCCTTCAATTTCAGTCTTAAGTCTTTCTATAAGGACAGATCACTGTGAAGGCGTTCAGCAAAACCTGAATTCAGCCATGTTGCCTGCTGCAGCAAAATATCTAATTGGTAAGAAGTATTTTTTTTAAACATGATTTTTCAATATGCTGTGTGAAAAGGAACACATAACAAACCTGTTTTTCCAAATATGACTGCAAAATGGAAATACACTTTAAGGTGTGTTTTAAGGGTGCAAAGGCCTTTTAAATGTATGCTGAAGGTTAGGGAAGCTTATTTCAACTATCTGGGACCTGTACTGTGCTAAAAAAAAAAAAAAAATACAGACCCTCATTAGCCTCAAAATGTTATGTTTTATTCACAGAAAAAATAAAAAAAACAGACAGCGGAAAAAAAGGAAATAAAAACATTTCAAATGACAGTACACTTGAAATTTGTTTTAGATCACTTCACAAACTGCATTAAATATCTACCAACAACTCCTTTTTTACGTCTGTCAATTCTTTGCTGGTGGTGTACACGACAGGCGTATACATTGACCCACATACTGTGGGCATGCCCCCTAATGAAGCCTTTCTGGAATAAGGTGATCTGGACCTATAGCAATGTCTTTTCCTCGACAATCATCCTAACCTCAAAACCTAAATATTATCTGTCTTCCCTGGCTCTATTTCAGCAGCCAAGAAATCTTTACTAAGAGTATGTGCAGCTAAAGCTGTTATGCCTATCTCTTTAACACATACAGTATGTACACACACTTATGACACCTATATACTACATAGGTTATTGAACTTCTTTTAGCAATGACTTGCTTCTGTAATAAAGGTGAGAATGGCTTGTGTTCTACCTCTCATTGGTCCGTGATTCCCATATATATATATATATATATATTGTAACAAGCACACTCCACTGTAGTCCAGGTAAGTCAAG